CCAGACCACTGTGTACTTGGAGCTGGAGACCGACAAACACTCCTCCAGTGATTCAGCTTTCCACAGCTGTTACACTTGGTGCCATAAGCCGGACATGCTTCCCGTGGACTGCGAGCATGATTACCACCACAATTAGGACACTTGTTACTAGTGTTAGTCTTCCGACGAACTACATCAATCGATGCAGGCTGAATATGTGTCTGTACTTGCGCTAGTTGAGCCATGTGCATCTGCGATGCTTCAAATGTTCTACTCAGCTCAAGCATCTGTGTAAGAGTGAGGGACTTGTTCTTCCCTAGAAGATCTTTCTGGAGCTCAGGATATCTAGTGCCTGTGACGAACTGCTCAATGATGCGTTCTTGGAGCTCAGTGTCATCACGAAATTCACAGTCATATGCCTGCAGCTTCAGGCGCGAGATATAATCATCTGCACTTTCCCTCTCCTTCTGCACATATTTCTGAAGGTATAGCCTAGCTACACGGAAATTTGCCCTTGGCCTCAGTTGTGTCTCGAACTTCTCCCAAACAACAGTTGGATTCTTCTTATCTTCACCTTCCAGACCCCACGAGTTGTAAAGCTTGATACCCGTGGCACCAGTGAACAAAAGAACATGATCCACTTGCTTACCAATCGCAACATTCTTGACTGAGAAGTATAAGTCACACTGCTGATGAAAAATCTTAACAGCATTGGCTCTGTCGGGGTCTTCCCAATTCATGCGGGGTGTACATGATTCATTCATAGTTCATACCAGCTACTCAAACTCCAACAGTAATTCAAATATCAATGCACATTTTACTTACAGTAAAACCATCATATGGGACTGTAGAAAGGAGCACCTGTTGATCCAATGACAGTGTGTCAGTAAGATGGCCTCCAAAATCTCTCCAAAATGATGCAAAGTTCACAAATATTGTCCAGTAGGTTCTATATCGCTGCCACCATATAATGTGGGGTTGTTTAGCTGTATGGTTAGTACTCAAATGAAGACACATAGAGAAACATCAGAGTGAAGTTGCAATCCAGCATGACTGGTTTTATTGTGTATAGAAGACCCCATACACCACAGTGTACATTAACTGTGTGTATGTGTGTATAGCATGTAGCATTGAGTCAATGTATAAGATCACATATTACAAGGCTAGAATTTAATGATTTGGTTGATAAGTTTGTTTTTGGGAAATCATATTGGAAATTTAACAGTAGTTTATGTATGAATAAAGATTTTGTTGAAGAGATGAAGAAGGAAATACAGGAATTAAAAGCTGAATGGTCATTACAGATTTTGAATAAATTAGTATTTTGGGATTTTTTAAAGATGAAAATGAGAGAATTCATTATAACATACTCGCGGAAAAAGGCAAAAGCAAGGAGAGTTGAAATAGAACTGTTAGAGAAACAAATAAAGGATTTAGAAGGCGAACTGGTAGTGGGACCCACTTAATATATTGTTGATTGTATTGAGTAGAAAAGGGATAAACTTAATAAATTGTATGATTTTTCTCGACAGGGCATTAAAATAAAATCAAGAGCAGCTTGGTTTGAAGATGGAGAAAACAATACGCAATACTTTGAACAGTTGTTAAAATCGAATAAAAGGAAAAGTGTAATTAGGGAGGTGTACAAAGAAAATGGGGAAACTACTAGAGATAAGAAGGACATTTTAAAGGAAATTGAACTATTTTATAAAGATTTATATTCATTAATGGCTGATATAAATCAAAACGACCCTTTCTTTTTTTACTGATATTTCAAAGTTAAATGAAGACAATAGGTAAATCTGTGAAGGTAAATTAACTAAAGATGAATGTTTGAAAGTTTTAAAAGAAATGAAATTGAATAAAACCCCGGGAAATGATGGGTTAAAAGTTGAATTTTATTATACTTTTTAGCCAGCTTTGGGTGATTTGTTAGTAGAAGTATTGAATGAAACATACGAAAGGGGGGAATTAACGGCATCTCAAAAACAAGGGGTTATTACCTTAATTGAGAAGGAAGCGAAAGATACTCTCCATATAAAAAATTATCGACCCATCACGCTTTTGAATGTAGATTATAAAATTGTATCTAAAGTTCTAGCAAAAAGAATGAAAGAGGTTTTGAATAAAATAACTCATCATGATCAAGTTGGATATATAAAAGATAGAAATATTGGTGAAGCTGTACGATTGATAGATGACATGTTATTTTATTCTATGCATTATGGGGAACAAGGGAAAGGGTTTTTGTGTGCAGTGGATTTTTAGAAAGCTTTCGACTCTGTATCTCATAGATATTTATTTCAAATATTGAAATTGTTCGGTTTTGGAGATTCATTTTGCTCTTGGGTAAAATTATTGTATAAAGGGATAAGTAGTTGTGTTATGAACGGTGGTCTCTCCACGGGGTATTTTGAAATAGAAAGGGGAGTAAGGCAAGGAGATCCATTATCGCCATATTTGTTTTTGGTTGCCATCGAAGTTTTGGCGCATGAAATAAGGAGGGACAACGGTATTAAAGGGATTACATTTGGAAAATCTGAAATTAGGCAAGTGTTATATGCAGATGATATAACAATGTTTTTGAAGGATATTGATTCGGTTAGAAGGTTGCGATATATTTTTGAATCATTTGAACAAATTAGTGGTCTTTAAGTGAATAAAACAAAGACACATTTTATGTGGATGGGTGAGGATGAGAACAAACCTGATGGGCCTTTATTTGGAAATTTGGTTAAGGAAATACACATTTTAGGGGTTAGTTATTCATTAGATGGAAGATTAAAAGATGATTTGAATTATAAAGAAATTCTAAGTAAAATATAAAAAAATTGCTTGTATGGTGGAAACAAAGAGATTTAGCTATTATGGGTAAAATACATTTGTTAAAAACTTATGCGCTTTCAAAATTAAATTATATTTCATCTCTCGTTATTGTCCCTCATTGAGTATACAAAGAAGTTGCACAAATTTCTTTTGAATTTATATGGAGGGGGAAAGATAGAATTAAGCGGGCAATAATGTATCAGGATTATGACTTTGGAGGATTAAGAATGATTAATTTTGAAATGTCTGTTAAAATACAGCGCATAATGTGGATAAAACGTCTTTTATATGGAGAGAAAAATTTGGGATGGAAATTGTTTTGTGATCATTGCTTACAGTTTGTGGGTGGTAGATTTTTTTTTAATGTGAATATGAATTAAAAAAGATTAAACTCGTTTTAGATATTCCACCATACTATGTGGAAATGTTGCAAGCATGGCAAGAGACAAGTAATTTAAGATATTTGGAGGGTTATATTAATCCAATTATTTTTAATAATCGGAATATATGTATAAATGGAAAAAGTTTATTTGATAGATACTTGTTTGAAAGAGGGATTGTTCAACTGAATCACTTGGTTGAGAAAGGCCATGTTAAGTCTGTTAAATATTTTATGAACCTCGGTATGAAAGGTAATAATTTGCTTATGATTATTGATATTTATGATGCGATACCCAGGTTATGGAAGGATGATTCAGGGTTAATACAATTCCTCGAGGTTAATTTGATAAGCTTTAATACTTATTTCCATATTTCTAGTAAAAAAATACAGTTTGTGAATGTGGGTTCAAGAACAATTTATGATTATTTTATCAAAGCACTGCAACAAACGTATGATTTGCAGGTAAGGGATTGGCAAAATGATTATGATTTTATAGGTAAAGAATTAAAAGAAATATTTGTTAGACCAAAAATTACTATACTCATTAGAAAACAACGAGAATTTCAATTTAAATTATTGCATGGAGCCATATACATTAATGAACATCTTCATAGATTTGGTTTTGTAGGTGATAATTTATGTTCGTTTTGTAAGCAGGAAATAGAAACATACAAACATTTATTTTTATCTTGCGGGAGCGTTCAAAGGATATGGCAGGCTTTAATACAATTTTTTGAGTTAGATGAAATTAAAGATTTAGAATGACGAGATATATTTGTTGGGTTGGTAGGTAGTTCATATAGAATAAAAATGTGTAATACTATCATTTTCATGGTGAAGTATGTTACATTTATGTCGAGATCGGGGGGGGGGGGCGAGTACCAACTTTAGAAAAGATGAAAAATACATTTTTAAGTATAGGGATGAGGAAAAGAAAATAGCAATTAAAATGGGAAAGCTGGGATCACATTTCTTAAAGTGGGAGCAGCTTAAGATTAATTAAGATTTTTTCTTCTTCTCCACCGTGAGCCTGTTAAAAGGGTGACTCTATTTTGCGGCCTGCATAACTTATTTAGTAAATTTTTCTTGAGTTGAGAATGTTAGCAGACATCCACTGAGTGAGTGGGTGGGTGAGTATGTTTGTGTGATGGAGGGGGCAGGGAGGGGGAAGGATTGTTCCAGTAAAATTACCTCCAGATTTGTTTAAGTTTTTTTTGTGTGTATATAAGTAAATAACATTTACAATTGACATATTATGTTTAGGTACTTATACGTTTACTTTGTTGCTAAGTTATATATATACTGCAAATAAGTTTGTGTTTTATGTTTATGTAAAAGCATCAATACTGAACACGTTTATTTTGTTCAATTGTATGTTATGGTTTGTATTGCACATTTGGAGAAATAAAACAAAATTGTTAAAAAAAAAAAAAAAAAAAAAGTATGTATGTATGAGTATATACAGCCATGGAAGAATCAATAGACTAAGAAAGGTTAACAATACTTTTTATTACAAGAATGAATTGAAAGAATTCGATAATAGATGGACACTATCCCTATTTGCTTCGGTGAGTTATTCTACATTTTGTGTGTCATTTACACGCGGAATGTGAATTACAGATTATTCCTATGTCCAATGTTAAGAACGCAGGGGTGGATCATCTACTTCTTCTTCTCATCATCTTCTTCTGATTATTTGTTTCTGCTTCCTCCTTTACTTCCGATAAACAAGGACTTTGTAATAGAATAGGCACAAACTGTAAAGGCTTTAAAGATAAAAGAAATTCGCTTTGATCTATTGTCTCTTGTCCAGGTTGTCCAGGCCTTATTCATCTTGTTCAACTCCTTCCAAGGTCTCTTCATCTTTATCCTCTACTGTGTGCGGAAGCCCCTAGTTCGTCAGCAATGGGGTTTGACCTGCTTCTGGTGCGATGGAGAAGGTACGGGGAGTGATGGCAGACGGGTGTCATCCGCATCTGATAGCCTGACTACCATCTCTAAGTTCTTCAGCGGCAGACGTGTGAAGAAGTACAGCGTTGGCGAGGAGAGTCTAACCGGAGTTTCAAATGGTGCAGACTCTTCAGTGTAAGTGTCAGCGTCAGTCTCCAATCCCACATATGGTGACCTTGACTTTGGCACTTATACCGAACCCTCTGACGAAAGCAAAATTTAATCTCAGTGGATGAATACAAATCCTTGCTAAGCTCCTTTATCTCGAACGAGATTCCTTCAACTCTACTTTTGGTTGGTAATATAGGCTCCCACCCCGGTCTCTTGGTAGGTCTTCTTTTTTTAAATACTGTCGGCAATTAAAGCACTATTATCCCTGACGAAATTCCTTATATTAACTTTTATTATTATGCAACATAAGTGGATGAAAGCTTGCCTACTAAATTTCAAGGTTGGTAGAAGCTTAAACTACATGTTATAATTATCCAAACCAATGCAAGTTTTCTGTATCACTTCTAGTTTTAGTTTGTAAAAGAGTTCCCATAGGTTTGTGGGTCTGTCTTCTTTTTAAATGCTGTCGGCAATTAAAGCACTATTATTCCTAACGAAATTCCATACCTTCTACTTTTAGTTAGTAATATAGGCCCTTCTCTGACTGTCTTTTTCTTTTAGTCTTATAGTTGTGGGCAATTAAAGCACTCTAGCCCTAAGCCTAAGGAAATACCTTAGATTATACTTTAATTTGTAATATACAGTCGCTTGGTGTATCCTCTTTTGATTTTGATGTCAGCAAAGGCAGTACTCATTCAAGACATCTAATATAAACTAATGTTTGTTAATGTATAGATATCAAGTAAATTGAAACGTAATGGAGCAAGTTTAGAAGGAAAAAAAGCTACAGATGTGATAACTTCATAGCACACTGATAGATATTTGAGACTTTTAGTTTATATTGACTATTGTTTATCTAATACTATTGTATATCTTTAAAATCTGCCTTTAAACTGGTTCACAAAAACACACGATCGTACATTTGTTTACGCTGTACATACTGAAAGAAATGAATTAGTTAATATAATGTATGACGAATGCTTCGTCAACATTGGCATTTAACTATGAATTTGAGCAGAGTTAATTTGTGTTTTTATGTATTACGGAATGCTGGTCATTCAATGCTATTATTGTAGTAAATTGTATGGTACATTTTAGAAGTAAACTTGCATGCAGCTGACTTAGAATGGTCGATATTACATGCCCTTTTGCCTTAAAGAACAACATTGAGTTCAGTCGCATGATATATTATAAGAAGCAAGTTAGATTCCGATTAAAGCTGAATGAGATATAATTTGCGACCTTTCTCATCTTTTTAAAGTCTGTTGGAAGAATATCATGTTTGAAATTTGTCCCTCTCTAAAACGTTTAGACCAAAAATGTCATGACACAGGTGTGTGTAATCCCTTTTTTGTTTGGAACACGTTTCAGTTATTCGAGGGTTATTCACCGCTTTCTAATCTGTAGGTTCAATTAATGTATGCAAGGATGTAATACATAGATGAGGAGAAATTTGTATGATCTACTTTTATTTTACAAGCATGCTATAGATGTATAATAATCAAATCTATACCATACACATTGGTGACATTCTTCTGGGTTGTTTTGATATTTTGTTCGTTTTTATATAGATTAATGATCTGTATATTAGCTTAATTTTTCAATCACTGTACCCTCTCAATCATTTCAATACTCTATGAACAAGGTATATCGCATTGTAATTTTAGTTTTATTCAATTTGCACTGTTAATAAATGTATTAAAATCAATCATGTACATATGTCCAATCATCTACAGACAGGCAGGGGATTATAATAGGCTCCTTAATATTAGGTAGGTGTCATGGTCTAGTGGATACGTCATTACACTCTGGATCATATAGGTCGAGGTTCGCGTCCCGCCACGGCACTAATATCCTTTGGCAAGACATTAATCTACCTTCGCCACTCTCCACCCAGGTGAAGTAAATGGTTACCCGGTAGGATGAAATTATCTAAATGTTTTAGCGCCTTATTATGGTGGCTCAGCTACTGCCGGGATAATTATGATACTTTGTTTTAAGTGCAGTATATAATCATATAGTAGCTGCGCTACAGAGATAGACCTATTCATCAGTACACAGAATGTCTTGCAGGGTAATAATATAACACTTTGTATTAAGCGCAGTAGATGATATTCATATAGTAGCTGCGCTGTATAATTGGACTTTTTCATAAGTAATAATAATAATATCGAATATTCAGGAGCCCTAAAAACAATAAGTACTATAGTGCTTACAAATACAATTATATGAAAAGAGGACAAAAATGTACAGCACATAAAATATATCGAGTAGATCATTGGGGAAAAGGGTGATTTTGAGGGATGTTTTTGAAGTACACAGAATGTCTTGCTGACAAAGATATAAGGAAACGTATTGTGGTCTCCAATGGCAGCTACTGCAGCGGAAATTTTGTATTGTCAGTAAAGTCTTTTACCTATTATAACATATGCAGACTTGTATTCACGTATTCAATGTATGAAAATGATATTATATAAATGGACTTATTCATAAGTACACAGACTGTCTTGCTGACAACAAAATAGGGAAATGTATTTTGGTCAGGGGTGTCGATTTGTATCCATGGTTGGGGGGATGATAGGTGCCAAAATATTTTCGGCAATGGATCAAAGCAACCAAGAGGTAGAAGCGTGTGGTAGGTTGCACCCGGCCCCTCCCTTCCGAGTTATTCACTTTTTCAACTCGCCCTCAATAAAGATAGCATTTTCCATAAGAGTAGTTAATGAAACCCAGTAAAGTATAGAGAATGTGAAAACCATGCAAAATACCCTCATTGACATGTTACACGAATATATATATATATATATTGTTTTAGTATACTTACTTTACTGTTGTACCCCTACTGTTATACCATATCAAGAAATAATTTTTTAACACAAAATACCTACTTCAGATTAGAGCATATAAGAATTTAAAACAAATGGAGGGTATGTAAGAAGAAGAAGAAGAAGAAGAAGAAGAAGAATAAAGAGTATTTAAATGTATATTCATCATGACCATGTATATTATATCAAATGTATACTAAAACAGGGCCCTATGAAAGTCAATTATATGTTGTTTCTATGTTCATATGTTGAAGCAAGATTGTTCATGTGCATATAAACAATTATCCTTTATGGACACAATAAAGAAATGAAATGAAATAAAATGAAAATTTCAGAGAATATGGGACCCATGTGGTTCCCACATGTGCTTGCTACCTGGGTTATTATCTTCTCAAGCGCGTAACCAGGATTTTATTTTAGGGGGGCGGTAGTGAGCACGCCAAGCGTTCGAATCACTTACAGAGTGCGCAAAGCGCGCTCCCTAGGGGGGGGGGGGGGGTGGGTGCAGGGAGGGGGTGTTTTCCCCTCCCGCGGAAAGCGCGGAAGCTTTGACGTTTTAATAAATTATTAAAGAAAGAAGACGATTCGTTGTACCATTCTCGACTCTTAATCCTTGTCTAAATTCAGTTTCTTTTGACGTTTCATTAAATTAATAGAGAAAGAAGACGATACGTTGTACCGTTCAAGACTGTTAATCCTCGTTTGAATCCAGATCCTCTTCCTTTGCGCGTAGCGCAGAAGCTCTGACGTTTCATTAGTTTATTAAAGAAAGAAGACGATTCGTTTTACTTTACTCGACTCTTAATCCTTGTCTGAATTCAGTTCCCCCTCCCCCTTTCCCGCGCGAAGCGCAGAAGCTCTTATCAGAGAAAGAAGACGATTCGTTGTACCGTTCTCGACTGTAAATCCTTGTCTGAATTTAGTTCCCCCTTCTTTTACCCGAAAAAGAAGACGATTCGTTGTACCGTTCTCGACTCTTAATCCTTGTCTGAATTCAGTCCCCCCAAAGCGCGGAAGCTTAGACGTTTCATTAAATTATTCGAAAAGAAGACTATTCGTTGTACCGGTCTCGACTCTTAAGCCTTTTTCTTCCTAGGTCCTTTTCCTTTCTCTTTTTTTTTGGGGGGGGGGGGGGGACGACCGCCCCCACCGTCCCCCTGGCTACGCGCCTGTATCCTCTCTGTCTCTCATTATCTCTCTCTCTCCCACTCTCTACTTCTTTTTTGCACTTTTGCGCTTCGCGCTTAACATTTAGCTCGTTGCTTTTAAACGCTGCGGCTTTGCATTTGGCGCACTGCATTAATATGATGCTGTTGATTGAATAAATTGAATAAATACATCAATTCTTGATGAAGCCGTATGAGCGAGAATTCAATTTATTCTTGTCTCATATACGGCCGGTCTCATTTACTTCGTTTTCTATTTATATATGTTTGTATTATGAAAATGAGATAGCACAGTGTGTATATTGATGGTCATCTTGCGAGTAATAACCATTAACTACTCTTATCGGGCTCTCATCATTAATTTTACTCTCTTTATTTCTTTATTTTTTTTATGGTGAATTATTGGGGGGATGATTGTACAGGCCACCCCCCACCTAAAATATTGGGGGGATATATCCCCCCCATCCCCCCCGGGATCGACACCCATGGTTTTGGTCACAAATGTGAGCTACTGCAGCAGAAATTTTGTATTTTCATTAGGTAAAGTCGTTTACCTATTATAAAATATGTGTAATTTTATTCACGTATTCGATGTATAAGAATGATACTACAGTATATCTCTTCCATGTGCTTTTATCACGATTATTCATTTTATACTCCAGTTATGAATTCCGTAACCACCACTTGTAAGGACAATTCATCTATCCGTAACTGAGTTTGTTCATCTTCCGAAACAGATGAACTAAATATTTTGTCACATCATTTGGGTAGAGTTTTGAGGAGTATGTTAAATAATAAAATAATACAGAGTATTTGTACTGCGCCAACTCCACATGAATAATGTGTTCGAGGCGCATGGAGAAGAAAAGATATAAGTACACAAGAAAATACACACAAAAATGAACGACGACAATGTGAAAATAAAACTAAATCTACTGAAAAGCTGCTTTGAACAAATGAGTTTTAAGGGCATGTTTAAAGCAATCTACACTTGAAATATAACGAATATGTTGTGGCTCATTAGTGAATTTGACGTAGATAATTATTATTTGCTTCTTTTTTGATAACTGACTTTCCGAATCGCTCATCTACTGTATCAAAATTTTTTTTAATCAAAAGCACAGTACTTATCATTACCGGTTTCCATTGTCCTCTGCGCTTTATGTTTACACCGATATTCCAAACCTTAATAAACTTTAATCCTTGGCTGTGTATGTGTACATTGCATTTTTGCCAATTTTTTTCAATTTATTTTGGTTTAGGTGACCTTCGTTTCATTCCACCCAATTAGTGTATTGAAAAAGTACTTATGCTTACATTATTGTTAATTCTACTCCATCTACGACATTGATTTATTTCTTTTCAAGTTTTGATTTCTTTCATTCTTTACTTTCAAAAGAATCCATTCGGTGATATTCAAATACCAAATCACAGCATTGGATTACCAGATTATTGAGACAGTGCAATAAGCCTAGTCTTGTCAGTGGAATAAGATTCTATTATAAGCC